GACAACCAGATCCACGAGGCCGACACCACCGAGGACCAGTCGGGTGCGTGGCCACCCCCAGGTTGTTCCCCTTGCCCTGGGCGCACCCTTGGGACGAACGTCCCTTTCCCTCGGGCACCCTGAGTCCTGGGCACCCTCCTCCTTGGTCCTGTCTCTGATATCCCTTCCGTGGGGCCCCCGTCCCTCAACAGCCTCCTTCTCCTGGGCCCCTTTCTCTTGGGCACCCTGATTCCCAGGTATCCCCTTCCCGGCTCCTGCATCCAGGTGTCCCTTCCCTGGCACCTCCRTCAATGGTGCTCCCTTCTCCCAGGCACCCGTCTCTTGGGTGCCCTCTGCGCATCCCTGCTGGGTCCAGCACCCAAACGTCACTTCCCTGGCACACAGAACCCTGGATATCTCCCTGTCCTGGGCTCTCCTTGCCCTGGGCACCCTGATCCCTGGCTACCCTGCTGCCCTTCCCGGGACACCGTGTCCCCAAGGGCACTGCCTTCCCTGGGCACCTCCTCGAGCCAMCTGGCCGAGCCGTCCCGGTCAGAGGAGCTGGGGACACCTCAGGGACGCTGATGTGGGCAGGGACATCCCACAGGTGCCACCTTCGACAAGCGGTCGCCCACCTGGGCGGCCCTGGCGCGGATCGCGGGGCTCTGCAACCGCGCCGTCTTCAAACCGGGCCAGGAGAACGTCTCCATCTCCAAGGTAGGGTGCCCGTGTTCCCCCGTCCCCACGGGGCCCTGGGTGCCTGCGGGGACACCCAGCACCTCTGTCGTGGCRCCAGCGCGACACGGCGGGCGACGCGTCCGAGTCGGCGCTGCTCAAGTGCATCCAGCTCTCGTGCGGCTCCGTCAAGAAGATGCGGGACAAGAACCCCAAAGTCACCGAGATCCCCTTCAACTCCACCAACAAGTACCAGGTGGTGGCCAGAGCGGTGGGCACGGCGCCGGAGGGGCGCGGGGGCGCCGGTGCCAGCCGTGCCCGCTGTGCCCGCAGCTCTCCATCCACGAGCGGGAGGACGATCCGCAGGGATACCTGCTGGTGATGAAGGGCGCTCCGGAGCGCATCCTGGACCGCTGCAGCCGCATCCTGCTGCAGGGCCAGGAGGTGCCGCTGGACGAGGAGATGCGTGAGGCCTTCCAGAATGCCTACCTGGAGCTGGGCGGCCTGGGCGAGCGCGTCCTGGGTGAGGGTGCCTGCCGGGAGCCGGGGGACGTGGGGGAATGTGGGCACACGGGGAAGATGGGGGACGGGAGACAGCGTCGGGGATAGGGGACACAGAAGCAAGGGACAGGGGGAACAGAGGCCATGGGRGACTGGGGCCATGGGGGCACGGGCATGTGGGCTTGGGGACACAGAGGCCATGGCACGCAGGGTACATGGACACRGCAGGGAGGACGGGAGACGGGGAAYGAGGAGAATGGGGCGTGAGGACACGGGGCACCGGGACACGGGATAGGTGGATGTGGCCATCAGTGATCAGGGACAAGGCAGACAAGACGCCAGGCGCCTAAGGGCACATGTGGCCGCGGTGGCGCCCGAGGAACGTGGGGAAATGGGCCCAGAGGTGCCGTGGTTGCCTGCTGTGGCGTCACCCGCTGTCACCCACCAGGGTTCTGCCACCTCTACCTGCCCCCGGACAAGTTCCCGCGCGGCTTCCGCTTCGACGCCGACGAGGTCAACTTCCCCACGAGCGACCTGTGCTTCGTGGGGCTCATGTCCATGATCGACCCACCCCGCGCCGCCGTGCCCGACGCCGTGGGCAAGTGCCGCAGCGCTGGCATCAAGGTGCGGCCCCTCGGCGTGCCCCGGTCCTGCCCGCCGAGGGCCCCGGCGTCCTGCTGCCTGCACAGCCCTCGCCACCCCCCAGGTGATCATGGTGACCGGCGACCACCCCATCACGGCCAAGGCCATCGCCAAGGGCGTGGGCATCATCTCGGAGGGCAACGAGACCGTGGAGGACATCGCCGCCCGCCTCAACATCCCCGTGAGCCAGGTCAACCCCCGGTAGGTTGTGGTGGGCGCGGGTGACACAGCGGGTGACACGGCGGAGCTGGGTGCAGAGTGACACGGCGTGGCACGGCATGGCACGGCTTTTGGTGTGACATGGCGCAGGCTGACGTGGTCACCATGGCACAGCCTGGCACTGGGACATGGCACGGGCTGGGACAGYGCAGCCTGGCACAAGACAAGAGGGGTGACATGGCACAGCCAGGCAGGAGGTGTCCTGACCCAGCCCAACACAGTGTGACATGGCACAACCCTGCAGGACGTGACATGGCCCAGCTTGGCGTGATGTGACCTGTCCCAGCCTGGCACAGTGCACATGGCCCAATGTGGCACGATGTGACACATCCCAGCCTGGCACGGTGCACATGGCCCAGCGTGGCATGACGTGACATGTCCCAGCCTGGCACAATGTGGCATTGTCCCAGCATGGCGCGGTGCACATGTCCCAGTATGGCACGGTGCACGTGTCCCAGCCTGGCATGACGTGACATGGCCCAACCCGTCACGCTGTGACACGTCCCAGCCTGGCACAGTGCACGTGTGCCAGCGTGGCATGATGTGACATGTCCCAGCCTGGCATGGTGCACATGACCCAGCGTGGCATGGTGTGACCTGTCCCAGCCTGGCACRGTGCACATGTCCCAGCCCAGCGTGGGGTCACCTGTCCCATCCCCTCATGGCACTCGCCTCCCAGCCCGTCGCGGTGCCCGTGCCGGGTGACCCGTGGCAGCCCGTGCCGGGGCCCCGCGCGCCCGGCGGGCTGAGCACGGTGCCCGCAGGGAGGCCAAGGCCTGCGTGGTGCACGGCTCCGACCTCAAGGACATGACGTCGGAGCAGCTCGACGAGATCCTCCGCAACCACACGGAGATCGTCTTCGCCCGCACGTCCCCCCAGCAGAAGCTCATCATCGTGGAGGGCTGCCAGCGCCAGGTGGGCACTGGGGACACCGGCACCCGCCACTGTCACCCCACCGGGGCC